TTCCTTCCTTCCTTCCTTCCTTCCTTCCTTCCTTCCTTCCTTCCTTCTTTCTTTCCTTCTTTCTCTCTGTTCATTCATTTGTTAGTTTTTTGGAGGGACTGCCTTATCATTTTCCACAGCGGCTATACCAATTCACATCCCTACCAGCAGTGTAGGGAACCTCTCCAACACTTATATTCTGTTTGGTTTCTTTATAATAGCTATCTTAATGGGTGTGAAGTTGCATCTCATTATGGTTTCGATTAACATTTCCCTGGTAGCTAGTGATGTTAAGCATCTTCTCATGTGCTTCTTGGCCATTTGCGTATCTTCTTTGGAGAAATGTCTATTCAATGCTTTGCCCATTTCTAATTGGTTGTTGGTTGTTGTTGAGTTGTACAAGTTCTTTATATATTCTGGATATTAATCCCTAATCAGAGAGATGATTTGCAAATAATTTCTCACATTCCATGAATTCTTTTTGCACTCTGTTGATAATGTCCTTTGATGCACAGAAGTGTATTTTGTTTTGTTTTTGTTTTTGTTTTAAGTAGGCTCTACTTAAAATGGAGCATGGAACCCTTGCGGGGTTTCAATTCATGACCCTAAGATTGAGACCTGAGCCAAGATCAAGAGTCGGATGCTTAAGTGACTGAGCCCCGATACACAGAAGTTTCTTATTTTGGGGCACCTGGGTGGCTCAGTCGGTTAAGCGTCTGCCTTTGGCTTAGGTCATGATCCCAGGGTCCTGGGATCAAGTCCTGCATTGGGCTCCCTGCTCAGTGGGGAGTCTGCTTCTCCCTCTGCCCCTCCCGCTGCTCATGCGAGCTCTCTCTCTTTCTCTCTCTCAAATACATAAATAAAATCTTAAAAAAAAAGAAGTTTCTTATTTTGATTTTTTTTCTTTTGCTGCCTGTGTTTTGGGTACTGCCTCATATGTACCACTGGACCAGGTCCTTTTGATTGCTAAGATTTAGTCAGAGGTAAATGCATTTTGAGGTGGAGAATAAGTATAATTTCAGGATTGGAATGGAAAACTCAGGTAATTATTAATGTTCCAGATGCAAACAGAGAGGGTTTGGCATGCCAACAGCTTACTAATCAGTCCTAGAAGTCTGTTTTAGAATTCCCAAAGGGCAGAAGTGGGGTTCAGTTACACAAAGGCCTCTTGGGACCAAATAGACAAGGTGTGAAGAAGAGATTGAGATAAAATGAAATGGGATAAGATAGAATAATAATATTAGGAGGGCTTTTGTCTGGAAGATTGAAAATGGGGAAGCTTCACTTTGCGGAGAGATACAAGGTGGTAAGCACACTCTGGTGGAAGACTCTTGCTTATTCTGACATAGAGAGACGGGTTTGACTTCTTCCTGAAATTGTGTATTAAAATGTGAACTTTAAGATGCTGTAGGCTCATTTTAGACTCTAGGACACTTTGGCCTCTGGATCACTATTGTCCTTTACAACCCACTCTCCTAAGACATTCAAACTTACATTCAAGTTCGTTTACCCTCTGCTGGTGGGGGCAAGTTGCTCTACGTGTGAAAGTTTAGGGCTAGAAGCTCACACCTTCCTACCAACTCCTCAGGAGATTTGACAGAAGTCTTGCCCTCCCGAGGGGCCCAGTTGAGAGCAAGGCCTCCTGTGTGGACTGAATTAGCTGTCTTTCCTCTTGGGCATATTCTTTGCCTTCCTCAAGATGTTGGCTCTGGATAGACACTCAGTCAAAGACATATTTCCCTTTAGGGTCTGGTTCCTTCACTGCTTATCTTCCAGTCATTTCTGTTAAGAGCAAACTACACCATCCCTGTGCTGCCTCTGGAAAATTGAAAGCTACTCCCAAGGGACATAGACTTTCTACTGCTTCATAAACACTGAGCTTCACCTGAATAGGATGTGGCAGGAAAGTCAATAGTGATTATCACTTGCCTCGGAAGGTCTCTGGATGCTCTGAATCTCCCAGGGCTTTATTACTTTGCAGTCTCCTAGGCAAATGAGAAATATTTCCACTGAGGGCAAAATAACCAGCCTGATGTGACCTACTTGCTAGTTACGTCACCAGCCTGATCGACAAGGGACTTCTGCTCAGACTCCCCCTGCTCATTGGTTGAGCATAGACATGTGTCCACTCAAGAAAGCCTGGAACCAGGAGGGAGCTGACTTCACCAGCGCGGGATGCCACACTCTGTGTGACCATGAGGCAGCAGCAATCCGGCCACCTAGGCAAAAGTGGGGGCAGTGGGAAACCTTGGGCAGGGAGGACATGGGACCCTTGATATGAAAGGTGTCCATGGTGACATTTAAGGGCTATCTGGGGAAATGTTTGATGGGAATTTACTAAAATCAATCTGTTGTAGGGCATCTATGACTTGTAGATTTGTTTTTTTCTGGCGAAATTTCTGTGTAGCTAGTATGATTGTGACTGTGGGACTTGGTGCTTATTAGGGTGGGAAAATTTTTCGTATGCCCTACAAGGTTCTTCTGACTGGTCTAAGAATTTAAATTGACAGAGACAGATTAACGGGAAAATCAAATTTGAATATGTATATATGAGGAATCCACATAAACATGAGATAGCCAAAGGCAGGCAAAATGAGGTATATATGTCATTCTGGACTAAGAAGTAGGGGCTAGGGGTTTGAGGTTTCAGAGAGAAGGAGACAATTCACAGAAATAATGAAAAGAGCAAATGTTTAGTAAACAAATGCTTGTTAGGCTATCCAGAAAGAATACGACATAGAGAGACCTTTGCTCAAATAGGCCTCACTAGGTTCCTCCCTGTCTACCATACCTTGTTCATATTATACTGTAGTTATCTATGGTGGTACCTTCCTTCCCGGAGCCAGCTGGTCCTCTACCTAAATATTTTTAGACTAAATAAATAAATAAATAAATAAAATAAAAAACAAAAATTTTTAGGCAGTTAGGGGGAAGGTCAAAGTTTCTTCCTGATCCTTCTGTTCTTAAAAATAATCAGCTTTGGGGCGCCTGGGTAGCTCAGATGGTTAAGCGTCTGCCTTCGGCTCAGGTCATGATCCCAGGGTCCTGGGATCGAGTCCCGCATCGGGCTCCCTGCTCCTTGGGAACCTGCTTCTCCCTCTGCCTCTCTCTCTGTCTCTCATGAATAAATAAATAAAATCTTTAAAAAAAAAATAATCAGCTTAAAATCATCCATCCACATGCCAAATAGACACATTTTGGGGTGGCAAATTTTGCTTCTCTACATGCTTCCCCAGCCTAGTGACACCCAGGTTCCTGGTTGGAAGTTGTAGCTAAATTTCCATCAGCTAGCCATGCACATCTTTTATAAAGTATTACCAGCAAAATCTCTGACCTCCTGTCTTCTCACGTCTCCCACGCCACAGTACTGTATCTCTTCTGCCTGGGTCTTTCTTGCAGTTTATCCGGGAGCTCTATGAAAACTCAATTCTGTCTGTTTTTACTTTATTTTTTTTAAGATTTTATTTATTTATTTGAGAGAGAGAGAGAGAGTGAGGAGCAGAGGGAGAGGGAGAAGCAGACTCCCTGCTGAGCACAGAGCTCAACATGGGGCTCAATCCCATGACCCTGAGATAATGCCCTGAGCTGAAGTCAAGAGCTGGACGCTCAACTGACTGAGCCACCCAGGCGCCCCTGTTTTTACTTTCCTGAGAGTCAACCCCCCTGGAGGGAAGGAAATAAGAAAGCAACTATTAGAATTGTGGGATAGTATGAAGTTTAGCCTTGTGGT